GTAAGGGATGTTATTCAAATTTTGACTTCGCTTCCGCATTTGATATTTATAATATAAATTCCATTATGAATTTCCGGAGCTGCTACATATAAATTCCAACTTCTTCCCGAATAAGTCCTGACCAATTTGAGCTTTTTTTTTTTCAACACTCAATTATATATATATATATCGCATATATATGCTGTCTTTTATTATTATTATTATTTAATAAAATAATTTTATAAATTAATTTAATTTTAAATTAAATTTTATAATAATTTTATTATTATAATAGCAACATATATTATATTTTTACGTTAAAATATAAAAACAAAAAAATATAAATATTAATTTTTTATTTATAAAATAAAAAATTTTAATTTATTTTTAATATTAATTATATTCTCAGTACTAGTAAAAAATATTATAATATTTTATTTAAATTAAATTTTTTTTATTTGATTAAATTAATTTTTTTTAATCTAATTATCAAATAATTAAGATAATTAATCTATTTAGAAAAAATTAGAACACTCGTTAGTGTGCGACCCTATAGGTTCAACATTAAACCAAGAGTAAATTGGTCAAACTAATTTACTAATCAAGATTGACGTCTAACAATATTTCTTAATGACCGAATATCATGAATTGTATAATTACTTATAAGTATTTGTTAAAGAATAATGTAATATTTTTTTATATCATTATTATTTGCGGTTAATTCTAAAATATGATTTAACTGTCAAATCTTATTAGGTAACCAATTATATTTCACGTCAATTATAACTGATTAATAAATAATATAAGAAACTTTTTTATTCTTTCATTCAATTGTATTGATCAAGATTCTAATATAATCGTTATAATAAATGACAATATAGAACTTAAACTTATTACGAAAGTTGATAGATTCTATTTTGATCAATCACTAATTGTACAAATATTTAATCACACTCAATATCTTTTCAATTATAGTTCTATGACTACATATATTCAGAATAAAAGTATGATAAATGATTTGTTAATTATTATGATGATTTCAAGTCAAAATTTTTTTTTATATCTCATTATTTTAAGAGATTATTCTATTGACAATTTAAGGTAATATTAACTACTAAAAATTTTCAGTTGCGTCGGTTTAATGATCATATCTCCATATGCATCATTTATATATGTGATTTAGTTAATGGGATCAAATAATTTTTATCTTATAGAGACCATCACATATATATTAATCTTACCGGATCATTAATATCCTATTTTGATAATCCAACGACCAAAAATATTTTACATTAAATTATAAAAGACTTTACTCTCTTTATCAAGATTGTCATCTTGATGTAAAATCTTTAAATTTAATTAAGAACTTTATCATATAAATTAAATAATAGGATATTAAATATGATAATAAAAATATTATTACTATATATTAAAATAAATTATAAAATAAAAATATATTTAATATATTACATGAATAATTAGATTTTAAGAATAACAATAAGATCTCTAACAGCAAATATCATAAAATAAGACTTTTTTTTTTATTTTTAGTAATATAAAATCAATATACTCGAATCAATTGCAAAAATATAAGAGGGGTTGCCTTAATCAAATCCAAACATGCAATATGATAACATTGTCAATATTTAAGGTGATTTTTTTTTTTCAAAAAGGAAGAGATTTGATAGATATTGGGCAATTTAAATGTTAACAACTTACTCTAAAAATAAGAAATATCTAGAAGCCTAAATGCTCTAAGAACTAAGGAGAAGTTTGAATTATGGTGTTGTATTTCAACTATATGCATATGGCTTCATGAGTATCTTGACACCTTCTCACTATTAAGGGACATAAAACACATATGACTTAAATGAGTAGATATTATGATGAAGAATACAATATGTTATCGAGAGAACAAAAATATGTTAGAAGTTAAAAGAAAAACTACAAAACTTATAAGAATTTTATGTAAGTTGGCGTGCTTCTGCGTTTTATAATATTAAAAATATTTTTAGATGTGAAAGTTATCTATGAATATTTATTCTTAGAAAATAAGGCATGATTCACATCACTCTAACTACAACTATGAGACAACTCTCAAGTAACGAAGAAGTTCTAATATATAATATAAATTTTTAATAAAAAATTATTGAGAAATTTTAAAATTTTTAAAATGATTATTGATAAATAAAAACTTTAATGGATTAGCTACAAAGATTTCTTTTTAGTACTGTTAACTCCATGACAAAAACTTATTAATTATTCTCTTTAACTGTAATTAACATTAATTTATATCATTTATATACATAATTTAAATAGATAGTTTTTAAAATATACTTTTGTACAGCCTTCCAACAAAGTGCAAGTGTTTGGAAGAGTGAAAATGGAAACAAGAAAAAACGGACAGAAGCAGTTTGTTACTTCATATGGCCCCCCTGCAAGATATAAATAGTGTTCGAACTTCTTTGGACTCGCGATTCCGGCTGGCAAAACAGTCGCAGCCACTTGCAATTTGACACACTCTCTTCCCCGACATAAAGCTAACAAAAAGGAAAAAACACACACGGATACCATCATAGCCAAACGGAACTAGCTCTCTACTTAGGGTTTCTTCTTGATTATCTGACAACAATTTGATTATACACTGCCTAATCAAATGGCGTGTGTATACATTCCGGTGCAGAACTCGGAGGAGGAGGTGAGAGTGTCTCTGGATCAGCTCCCAAGAGATGCCTCTGATATCCTCGACATCCTCAAGGCCGAGCAAGCCCCTCTTGATCTCTGGCTCATCATTGCGGTTTGTTCTGTTTTCTTTTATTTTCTTTTTTCAATGTTGGCCTCCTTTTGTATAGCTATTGCTCGTTATCAGTTTCATCAAATTAAGATTATTGGTGTCGTTATTAGGGTTACTCAGAAAATTCCCGTCTGAATTTGATATATTTATATTTTTGCGCATGTATTTGCCCATTTTAGTTGTGCGCGAAGAATTCAAATATTTTGAGGCACGGTTTGGTGAAAACAGATTGTTAAGTACTGCCAGGGAGGTCAACTTACAGTGTCTTTAATTGGGGGAGTTGAGAGTCAGGGGAAAAATGGAATGGTGATTTAGCCTAGCGAGTCTTATGAGTCTACATAAGAGATTAGACTCTTTGATGTTTTCATGGATGTTGGAGTTTGTATTCTTTGCTTTCGACTGCAATGGTTGAGTGCGTCCTGTAGTTCGTAAGAAGAGCTAGGTCAGCTGGCAAGCACAGCTCAAGAAGCATAGGGACAGACAATTTATGCATAACCTTCATTTAAGTAAAATACTTGGTTATGATGTTTTGTCTATATCCGGGTGAACTTCCTGCATGCAGAAATTCAATGTCATATTTTTGAGTTGAAGAAACTGTTGATAGCCACAGTCCTTCTTTAGAGATAAAAAATATGCTGGTAGATGTCTAGGTAAACAGTACTAACTTGTGTGCTTACTTTTATGTTTTATCTGGCTTTTTTTATGATGCAGAGGGAGTACTTCAAACAGGGCAAAATTGATCAGTTCCGCCAAATTTTGGAAGAAGGATCCGGTCATGGTATATCTTTGCTTTTCTTGTTGTCATTCAATTGATGTGCTATTCTCACTATCTTTTTAGATTTTAAAAATGGCCTTTTTGGTCTGATGGTGATTTTTCTTTTTGGCAGAGATTGATGAATATTATGCTGATGTTAGATATGAAAGGATAGCTATCTTGAATGCTTTAGGGGCCTATTACAGCTACCTTGGAAAAATTGAGACAAAACAACGAGAAAAGGAGGAGCATTTCATTGCTGCCACACAATACTACAACAGAGCATCAAGAATTGACATGCATGAGCCTTCTACTTGGGTTGGGAAAGGTGATAATGATTGGGATCTTTTTGTTGTCATACACCCAATTAATAATGTAATAAGGTGGCTGTCTCAAACTCAGAGTAACTCTTGCTGACAAATCCTATATCTTGCTGGACTAGATTTTGAATTCAGAGAAGTTTTCTCCACCATCTACTGAGACTAGTCTATGTAGTTCCTGTACATTAATCCAAGAAACTCTGTAAGCTTAGTGCTTTGTGATTGCACCTGCTTGTGTTTCTTACTATATGCTGAAAAGTTTGCATATATATATTTTTATTTGAGCGGATGCCAAGATGGTATTGTTAAAATTGCATTTGTATTCTTTGAATTCTCAAACAGAAGTGTTGTTACTTTCTTTCCTAAAATTGTTTTTTAGTACTTGTAATCTTGCTCTTGTTTATAGTCCTTCGTTTGGTCATAAGCTTTTGAGGTTTGCTGTGTATCTCCATTTGTCTTTCAGTGCTTGTTTATGGCACTAAGGAAGTGGTTTACTTAGATATATGTATATATATATATATGTATATATATCTGTTCTGGTACTATCTGTTGCTTTAACTCTGAATGTAGATTTTGGAACTGGAAATTTCTAGTTTGCCAGTCCTTAACTCATTGAAAGGTGGTTCATGTTGATATTTATCTTGACTTGAGAATCCAGATTATTCTATATTTGCTCAAATCTTTCTCAGTGGATGGGAAACAATTTCCTATTTTCATGGAGAGTCATGTTGGAAGGAATACTTTTACTGGCAAAGGAATACTTTCTCTCAAACATTTCTGCATTGCATGAATACTAAAATCTTTAATCCGTATGTGTTGCTTATAGGTCAACTTTTACTGGCGAAGGGTGAAATAGAGCAGGCATTTGCTGCATTTAAAATTGTGTTGGAAGGAGATCGTGATAACGTTCCTGCTCTT